GTGTGCGCGCGTGTGTGTGCGTGTGACCCTGTGTGCGAGTCCTGATTTGATATAGTGCTGCAGGCAGAAGTCCAGCAGAGACCTATCAGCTTAGTCACACTACGCTGGGGAACCATATAAAACAATGTTGCTTCATTGGGAAATACATTTCTTTCTTCTTCAGGCCTACAGGAGGTCTCTGCTTCCTTCACCTTGTTTACTCACTAGTGTCTTCTTTTCTTAAGTTAATTTGAAAAAATATCCCACTTCACTGGCTGAGGACACAAGCCAGCGTCACTTCTTTTTTACTGTTCAGAGTAAGATCACTTCACTCTCCCACTCCACTTCTAAGAGCTGAGAGTGAGGAGGTGGAGCTAGGGCGAGAGTGTCGTTCCATAGGGTGCATTCGGGTAAGAAGAGGCTCTCAGAAGGGGCCCTGTGGTAATTAGGTTTAAGTCTGTCGCTGCTGGTGCAGCAGTTCCCAGGTGCATTGAGGCTGGGGTGGGCTCTGCCTCTGCCTTGTGCAGAGACCTAGGTGGTTCTAGGGAGCAGCCCGGGCCTCTGTCAAGGCCCCAGTGGGCTTCTGCTTCCCTCGGTGCCCAGCCTCGGCTCTCTGTTTCCTTCATGGTGAAACTTCTTGAAAGAGGGTCCACGCTGCCCTTGCTACCTCCCGTGGGTCATTCCCTGCAGCGTGGCTTCTCCCCTCAGCATTCCATGCACCCTGTTCTCTGAAAAGGTGTGAACTGCCAAATAGCTACACAGAAAAAAGGGCTTTCGTCACTGTCCCCTTTCTTCAGTGTATCTGCTGCATTTCTTTGTTCTTCAACTGCGTAACCATCGCGGCAGCCAGAAGCAAGTATTTTCCGAGTGCCTTTCCTGTGTTGTAAGTACGGTGGTGAGCAGAACAGAGCAAGTCCCCATTCCCCTGGGACTTACCTTTTGGTGAATACGGAGTGTGAAACGTGGCAGTAGTGGGTGCTGGCTCTGGGTCTGCGGGTGCTGGTGGGGTGCACAGGGGCAGTGGCTGTACCAAGGGAACGACATGGTAGGGACCCACGGGAAGGAAACATGCACATGTCTTGCACATGTCCGGGGGAGAATGTTCCAGCTAAGATGAGCAACAACACAGAGCCCAAGGTGGTGTGTTGAGGAGCAGCACAGGCCGGTGCGAGAGCAGCGGGCAGAGCAGGGGAGGGGCAGGCGGTGAGGTCAGCGAGGGCAGCCGGCCCACATGGGGTAGGGTGTTGCAAACCACCTTAAAGGCTTTGTCTTTTACTTTGAGTGGGTGGGTAGCCATTGGAGGATTTTGGACAGCAGAGTGACATTGCCTGGCTCTTGTTTTAACAGGAGCACTCTGACTGTCGATGGACAATACATTGCAGGAGGAGGGTGGAAACAGGGCAGCAGTGACAACGTTCCTGCAGAAGTCCAGGAAAGAGGCGGTGACCAGTTAATCTGGAAAAGCAGGAAAGGCTCGACATGGAGCCCAAGTGTCTGGGGCTAAGTGATGAAGAATGAGTAGGAATTTTGCAGGCAGACAGGAGGATGGGCTGCAGATGCGGGCATGCTGGGCCATCTGGGGACTGAAGCTAAAGTGGCAGCGATGGGGGGGAGGTCCCTGCTTGTGTAAGCACCGCAATGACAGGCTGCACTTTCTCTTCAAGCCCACATGAACGTTTACGAAAATTTTATTGGGCCGAAAAGTAAATCTCAACCAATAACACATACTTTATACAGACATTGTTCTCTGGCCACGGTATAACATTCCAAATAAATAAGGTAGCCAATCTCTCAATACATTTTGAAATTTAATAATCACTTCTCTTAGTTTATGGATCAAAATGAAATAATAATTGAAATGAGACATTTAGAACTGGTCAACAGAAAGAGTGGTGGGAAAGGCTCAATACTATAAAGATGTCAATTTATCTCAAGCTCAGCTGTAAGTTCGATGCAACAGCACTCAGAGTTTCAACAGGACTTTCTAAGGAAATTGATGGCTGATTTTAAAAGTCCTATAGAAGATTAATGAGCCTAGAATAGCCAAGACAATTTTGAACATTAGCAAAGTGTTAGGAGTTGCTGAATCAGATAACTAAAACTTATTTTAAAGTTACACTAATTAAGTCATATAGGCTTTAGTAAGGAAGACATTGTGGTTCAGGAACAGACTAAGAGTACAAAGGACAAAACAGAGAACCTAGGGACAGAATTGTGGAACTGTGGGCACTTGGTGTCTGGCAGAATCATTGGAGGGAGGAGGGACTATTCAATAAATGGTGCCGGGCAACTTGGCCCTTCATGTGGACTCATTTAGGAATGCTCATTTTTAACTAAATGGCTTAAATCAGTGCTTGTTAAACCTGAATGCTCATGAGCGTCACCTGGATCTTGTTAAGTTACAGGTTGTGATTCAGTGGGTCTGGGCTGGGGTCTGATGCTGCAGTTCCAATGAGATCTCAGTTGTTGGCAGTGTTGCTAATCCATGCATTACATCTCGATTAGCAAGAGCTTAAATCACGGAATATTAAGTGTTCATTTAACAAAGAGGTGGTCTCTGGAATGTTCTGGTAGCTCAGTGATACCAGGAATAGAAGCGCCTTTTATCTTTCTGCTCTGTCGTATGTTAGCTTGCTGGTACATGTTGACTTTTTGCTTTCATATTTGTTACCTCATTGCCCCACGATATCTGCCACAATTCCGATATCACACTTCAATCCCATGCGAGAAGGGGGAAAGGATGAAGCAGGAGCTCTCTACTTGGGTCTGCCACTGTCACCAAGAAAACAGTACTATGCCCAGAAACTCGAAGGACTTATGGACACCCTTAGTTAAAAGGGAAGTCAGGAGAGAGAGTGTATTAGTTTCCTTTTGCTGCTGTAACAAATTGACACAAACTTAGTGGCTAAAAACCGAGAAATTTATTATTTTACAGTTCTGGAGGTCAGAAGTCCTGAAATCCAGGTTTTTGGACAGGAATGGGATCCTTCTGGAGGCTCTTGGGGAGGATCTATCTCCTTTCTTTTTGTAGCTTCTAGAGGCCACCTGCATTCCCGTCGGCTCCTGGCCCCTTCCTCTGCCTTCCAAGCCAGCAATGTAGCATCTTCCAATCTCTCTCACTCTACCTCTGCCTCTGTCCTCACATCTCCTTTTCATCACTCTGACTTTCCTGCCCTGCTCTTACAAGGACACGTGTAAGGACGACTGGGCCCACCTGGATGAGCTAAGATGATCTTTCCTTCTCAGAATCCTTAATTACATCAGAAAAGTCCCATTGACCATGTGAGATAGCATAGCCATAGCGTCTGGGGATTAGCACATGGACATATTGGGGGGCCATTCTTCTGTGTACCACAGAGAGTATCTAGATTCCTCCCCCCAACCTGGCATTTATGGTGGGTGATGCTTGAAAGAGAAGGGGGTTAGTTGGTTTAGCCAATCAACGGTGTTTGCCATTTTATCAATACGGAAAAAGGATCAAATTAGTTGCCTACCTTATACTATACACAAAAATAAATTCCAGGACAATTAAATATCTAACTGTTAAAAGTAAGAAATATTTAGAAAAAATATGAAATATCTTTTTCGTATAGTGATAAAAAGTCTAAATGAATTTAAAAATAAAATATAAAATGCTTAAGTTATAAAGGAAAGGGTTGATAAACAAGAGTGGATCAAAATTTGGATTTTTTGTGGGTGTGACAAAAGACAATAGGAAGAAACCTGAAAAATAAGCCAGAGGTTGAGAGATCATCGTGAAATGTGCAGAATCAACAGAGGTTTAGTAACT